ATAGACGATTCTAATTTTTTTTATGTAATGAAATTTGTCCCTTTGTCTTTATATTTTCTGAATAGGACTTCCCCAAAATAAAAATATTAAGCACCCAAATCCATTTTATTCTGACATATTTATAGTTTCATTTTCATCTTAAAATCTTTCTTCCGTATCAATTTATTTTGATGTAAGGAGCAAGATCAAAATCCAGTTTTTTGTTACCAATGCTTGTCTCATTGTCTTAAATATAATACTAATCCATCTTTTTTTCTCCTGACAAGAAATATCATATTTATCATATAATAAATTCTCATACATATTTTGGTTCATTATTGCACTCTGTTATCTTCCTTTGACCTATTTATTGTGAGGTAGTGCAATACTATTTTAATTGCCTTAGTTTTATGTCATACTTTAATAAATGAAAAGGGATAATCTACATTAGGTTTCTTTATCAGATTTCCTATCTTCACATAATTATTCATCTAGATGATATTTAGATTAATTTAGTGAAATTACCCCCAAAATTCCTGTTGGTACTATTTTTAGAAGCATCTTCAACTTATAAATAACTAATGACATAATTAACATCTTTATATTATTGATTCTTATGTCTTTTAAATGTATTTCTAACTTGCTTTCTTGTTCAATTTAGATCCCATGCTATGGAATTATAATAATTACCTTGGATACTGCATTAGATACCACAACCTTAGTAATTTAAACAACTCAAAAGTATCATATTACAGTTCTAGAGGCCAGGAGTCTGAAATGAGTCTCACTGGGTTAAAATCAAAGTGTCAGTGGGGCTCTTTTCCTTTCTGGAGGCTCTGGAGGAGAATCTGTTCCTTTGACATTTTTTAGCGCTTAGAGGCCTCCTGCATTCCTTTGGTTCATGCCTCTTTCCTCCATCTTCAAAGCCAGTAACACTGACCATTCTTCCATAGATACACCTCTCCCTGATTACAGCTGGGAAAGCTTCTGCACTTTTAAGTACCCATGTGATTTGCTTGGGCCCATCCAGACAATCCAGGATCATCTCTCTAATCTCAGGGGTTTTAATTGAACATATTAGTAAAGTTCCCTTTGGCATGGGAAGTAACATATTCAGATGCCAGAGATGAGGATGTGGTCATCTTTTGGGGTCCATTATTCGGTCTACCACAGACATACTCTCAACTTGCCATGTCCCTCTTTACCTTCATTGAATTCAACTAGAAAATCTGAATTCTAAAGAGAACAGACGTGGATTAACCTTGGAATTCAAAGTACAAAAAGGTGTGCTTTGCTTTAACCAGGATGTTTATTTAGCATTTTAAATTCCCAGCTACTAACCCCAAAGGGACCTTTTGGGTTCCCCTGCAATCCTCGGACACCACTGGCCCATTTGCTCCCTTCTCTTTCCATTCCTACCCTCTTTCCTCAAACCCCCAGGACCTCTCTCATATCATCACTCTGGGTGGATAAAATTCCTTCTTATTTTGCAGAAAGCGGAGAATTAATCTGGAATAAGATTCCACATGCTCTCCCATGTCTTCTAACTCACTTGCATCTGTGTCCAAATAACTGGTATTCACCAATTATTCTAGCTTGAGAGAAGGTCAAACTCTCCCCTGTTCTCTAGATCCCACCCCTATTGGGCACTCTAAGAAATCAATCTAGTTATTTCTCAATCTCTCTGCCAATCCTCAATTCTTTCTCCCTACCATGAAACCCAGCATCTAATAACTTTGGTATGATATCATTTATCTGAGCCCAGAAAGCAGCAGTCTCACCAAAGAGCAGGTTTCTCAAATAGGTATCTGTGAATAAATACCTATGATCACCTTAAAGTGGCAGTGAACAGAAATGTGAGCTTCAATATGTTTCCATTTTCATTATACTCACTATCTAAGTAGACATACTATCTAAGTAGGCTTACTATTGTTTCTTCAGGTTTTAGGTTCCGGCTGCTGCTTTTATTTTCCTGCAAAAATTATTCGTGGCGTGGTACCTGTGGCTCAAAGGAGTAGGGTGCCGGCCCCATATACCAGAGGTGGTGGGTTCCAACCCAGCGCACCAAAAACTGCAACAACAACAAAAAAATTATTCATGTAGTGAATCTGACCTTGTTTAGAACTTCCACTTGAAGGTTTGTGTGGGACCAAGTGGCCACACTTAGACTGTCATAGCACTCGCCACTGCCCACACATTCCAAAGATCTCAGTAAATTGTCAATGTCTATAATCTTATGCTCAACGAAATAGTTTCAAAACTCTTGAGCAATGTCTGTTTTTTCCACACAGCCACACGACTCCTTTTCTCCTCCACAAGTAAGAAAATTGTCTGTAAATCATTAGTTCCCATTTTGATAGAAAATATCAAAACAACAGCTGGGGCTCAGTAATATCTTCAAACATTTCGATAACATGAATCTTTCCCTGAATGTTCTGGGAACCACACAGTCTCAGAAATAAGCAACGGAGACAGAGCCTCTAGCCGACAAATTTTATAAAATTGCCTGTTTGCTAAGGGTTATTTATTTAGTGAACTCTTTAAAAAGCAAGGACAAAGAGAAATATCAAATTAACTGGATTTAAAAACAAAGCCACAAAGAATATCTGTTCCCTGGTATCTGATGAGAATACAATCCAGGTTTCAAAAACTTTTCATAGTCATCATTTCCTTTGCTACAAATGCTGTTGTTTGCCAACAACGTGTCTATTTTTTTTTTAAGGAATGAAAATAATGTTTGTGTTCATTAAAGGCAGACAGGACTCTTGGGTCCCACGTGGGCCACCATGAGAGTTAAGTTGTAGGGGTGGAGAGGCCTCATTTCCTCCCTACAGCCAAATCAAGACCCAGTGAGGCAGAAGGGCCTGTCCTAAGGAGAAGAGCCACATGGCCTAATGGTCACAAGTAGTCATTTTTTTTTCATAGTTGCCCAAGTGATTCTCTGTTTACCTGAGCTAAGAGTCTCTACATGTGAGATTAATATGAAAAAAATAGATCAGGGGTAGGGATTTCCTCTTGGGAGGAACTGGCTGTGGTTGTGGGAGTAAACAGAGCGTGTCAAGAAAGTCAAAGGAGCAAGGCACATGTCCTGAGACGTGCATGTCTTGCCCTCCCCTTGGCCTTGCCTACCGTTCTCTTCTGAATGTAGCCGTGATCTCCCATGGAGACTCAGATTCCAAGTTAAAGACAAATGTGGTCCTAAGACTTACCATCCAAGGAAAAACTTGGCCAGTGTTTTCATGCTACTCTTTCTAGTTAAAGAATTGAGGCTCCTCTTACAGAGGAGAATTTCCTGAGCTCTTGTGTATAGGGAGTGATGAGAAGTGTTCTCAAATCCTGGATTTTAGACTCTAAGCCAGTGCTCTTTCCATTAGTCACAGCTAAGCCAAGAAGTTAGCACCACTGGCACTGGGTGACAGAAGATGAGTATGTGTCTGTGTGTATGACAAGGTTACTCTGCCTTGGCACCCGGACACTAGGAGGCTGATATTTCTTGGTGAGGGATGAAGGGGCTGTCCTATGCACTGTAGGGTATGTAGCAGCACCCCTGGCCTCTATCCACTACATGCCAGGAGCATTCTTCCCCAGGCTATAGCAGAAGCATAGCCACATATTGCCACATGGTCCCTGGGGAGGGGGAGCAAAATCATTCCTGGCTGAGAACCACACATCTATGTGTATATGCACATGCTTGTCTATGTGTATACAGATGGTACACACACAGATGTGTACCCATTTTAAGAAAGGAAAAGACTGTATTAAAGTTGTAATACTCCAGTAACAGTAGACTTCTGCAATTACAAGAGGTACCCAACATGACTTGTATTCATTTTTTATTAGTAGTATATATTGAATATTACAATTTTGATGTAGCCTTTTCCTTTCTTAAAATATGGATACATTTTTGGCTCTCTCTGTATACATGAACTCTATTATGAATATATATTAATGAAACATCCCCTTAACTACTCCCCCCCCCAAAAAAAAAAAACAAAATAGAAGAGAAGATCTGCAGATCTAAAGTCCTCCAAGGCAATCTTCTAGCTTCTAGAGCAGTGGTTCTCAACCTTCCTAATGCTGCAACCTTTCAATACAGTTCCTCATGCTGTGGTGACCACCAACCATAAAATTATTTTCGTTGTTACTTTATAACTGTAATTTTTCTACTGTTATGAATCGTAATGCAATGATCTGATATGCAGGATGTATTTAGGCGACCCCTGTGAAAGGGTCATTCCACCTCCAAAGGGGTCACAACCCACAGATTGAGAACCACTGTTCTAGAAGTTTGCTAACCCTCTCTCGTTTTCCTCTCCATTTCAGGCACACTGGCCTGGTTGCTTTTTATGGCAGATTTCCTCTAAGTGTATAACATCATAATTTTCATTCTGCCTCAAATTAGCTTTCTGCTACATATGAATACAAAATACAAATTATTAAGTACTGTTATTGATGACAGTAAACATTCAGAGACAGACTTCTGTGGATTAAGGGAATTTAGGTCTGTGTTTCTCATCTTTACTGGAATCAAGATCTATGTGAAAACATCAACCAGTCAGGTATGCACCGGCTCCAGTGCAACCTACAGCACAGCAGTTGAAAGACTAGATGAAAATGAAGTAACTTGGGAAAAATCCCTGACACTGAGTTTGCATAAGGTCAAATGACATGTTTTCTAGATTAAGGCTTTTTCCAAATGGTTATTTTGAAAACAAATCGAGATAGACACAGGTTTTCTTCTCACCTTTTAAGCTGACTTTTCTGAAAGTCCTTTTTAATTTAACCTGGCTTGTGCCAGGTAGACTGTTAAGATACAAATGCCTCAAGTTGACCTTCCCTTTAAATAAATGTATTAGCTGACATGCAACTATCCTGCTTGAACATGTCTTGCAAAACGGACAGTAATGACAGCCAGTGGCCGAGGAGCTGTCATTTCCTTCCTATGTGCATGTGAGGCCTGAGAAGAGTTCAGTGCTTGTGACTTGTAGCATTCCTCAGCAGAAAAGCAGACAGGGCCTTACCTTTGGGAATGGTGATCTGACAGCTCAGGTCACAGTCCTGCTGCAACTGATAAAAAGCCACTTCCTGAAGTCGAGCCCTTTCCAGCTCCGAGAGACTCTGGATGGGAACTGACCTCAGTCGCACACTGCGGCCCGACATGCTGTTCCAGGTGAAATCACCCTGCAGACCAAGGGAAAAAACATGAGGAGTTACACAGTCCACCTACCTCTCACAAACATCCTTTTTTCTCAGTCAGCAATAAAGTCAAGCAAATTTCATCTTTGTGTTCCACAACCGACTCTCAATTCCCCAAATCAAATCCTCTTAGTTTACCATGGATTTTCTCAGTTAGCTGCAAAAGTCAAAATCTCGAGTATCTGCTGGGTTGTGTGATTTCGTCTCATGCTGCATATGCAGGCCAAAGAAAACCACTTGGAAAGATGCAGCAAGGGTCCTACTTCTTCCCTTTTATGAGGACACATGAGAACTTCTTTATTTTTCTATCTCAGTAACAGGAAAATCATGTATACTAGATATGGGGGGGTGAATGTGTACCAAGGGCCAACCATGTGCCAGCAAGTTTTTAATTTACAAATAATAACTGTACATAATTTAATTGTACATATTTTATTTAATCCCTTTTTATTTAATCCCTTCAACAACTTTTGAGGTGGTTAACATCTTTGACCTATCTTATATAATATTTAATAATATAATAACATTATATAATAATAGAATAGAATATGATTACAACCTATAACAATATACAAGATAGACATAAAGTTCGCTTGCAATTTACTATGTTAAACTATTTCAAATTGCACACAAACTTTATATCCACCTTGCATAATAGATAATTGAACCTATACTTATGATACATTGTTATACTATATGATTATGATACATTATAGTAATATCACAATAATATATAGATGTATAAATGTAATAAAATAATATAGATGGTGGAACTGAGAGTTGGGAAGATTAAGTAATTTTCCCCAAATCATAAAGCTTATAAGATTTGGAACTAGGACCCAAGCTAAGAATGTAGTGCTTTAAACTTATGCTAAAATTGTAGCCACTGCGTTTCTATTCATAGCACTTTCATGAGCTATTTTGAACACAATATGTACAGAGAGATACGCTCAATAAGAACTATGTGTACAGTATTTATAGACATTTGATGTGAAAATACATATCAAAGAGTCAAGTCAAAGATTTCCACAATCCTAAGCATGTATTTGTGTGCACAAGTACACACTCCAGTGGCTACTGAGGGTGAATGGCTCCACTGTCGACGCAGAGAGAGAGGAAGTGTTAGCCTAAGAAACAAACAGTCCTCTGAAAACTAGTGTCCTCGTACTATAAGAAGATTCCCTGTGAATCACAGATACTAGCCACGGTGCAACAAATTTGAAGAAGCAGCTATTGTTACCTTAATGATCAAGAAAAAGAAAGTTCGGTGCGGAGAGAAGAGGCACTGGCTCACACAGGTGCTGCCAGGAACTCATTGCAATGAATGGAACACTTAATCCTATTAAGATTTCACCATCTTAAAGAAGCCACTTACCTTAAAGGAGGGAGACATAAAAACTGGCTCCAGCAACTATTAAGATATTTTTTGCACACCAGTGGCAAATCCTTGCCTAGAGTGTTTATTCCAAACAGTGAACAGTACTACGTTAATACTTTGATATTGCCTCCTCTTTATCTGGGTTTTTATTCTTTCATTTAACAAATGGAGATACTGTACTCTGGAAGGGGCAGAAGGAACAGGTCAATAAAAGGTATAGTGTTAAATAATGACAACTGTTAGGGAGAACTAAAGGACAGGGATGGGGGAGTTGAGGAAAGAGATTTGCAGTTTTGGACAGTGGCCGGGAAAGACTTCACAGACAAGGCAGCATTTGAGCAAGAGCTAAAGGAAGAGAAGGTTCTTGGTTTATCTGAACATGTGTGAATTTACATCCCAAGAATGACTAAGACTGGCAGGAGCCCAGGAGCTCAGGGAAGGTGCTGCAGGAAAGGTGCAGGAAAGGAATAAGGGAGGGGCAAATCTAGTCAAAGTGGGTAGGCTGCAGGGAACTGAAGAAAATTCCCCCAGGTCTAGTGCATTTCAGATTGTTTTCTTTCTTTTTTCATTTTCTGTTATAACTAGACTAAGAACCATTTTAAAATGTTAGGAATTGGAACCTTAAATCTTGAGTATACCCCTCACACACATCCTCTAAGCTTAGGGTACCACAAGGAAGACCACAGGTAAATTGCTCCCCCCACCATAAAAAGTCTCAGATGAGTTTGTAACATTTAGATATAAGTTTAGGTACCTAAGGTTGCTGATGGCTAAAGGGAACACTTATACACTGTTGGTGGGTACGCAAATTAGTACAACCTCTGTGGAAAACAGCATGGAGATTTGTCAAAGAACTACAAGTAGACCTACCATTCCAACCAGTAACCTTGCTACTGGATATCTACCCAAAGGGAAAGAAGTCATTTTATAAAGAAGATATCTATGCCCATATGTTCATTACAGCACATTATTCTATTGCAAAGATCCATATCTGAACCAACTTAAGTGCCCACCAATGGATGAACAGATAAAGAAAATGTGGTATATACTGTATACAGTGTACACTATAAAGTAGTATGCAGCCATCAAAAAGAACGACTTAATGTCTTTTGCAGCAACTTGGATGGAACCGGAGACTATTGTTCTAAGTGAAGTGAACCAGGAACAAGAAAACAAATACTACTGCTCTCACTTACTGACGGATATGCATGGTCATACAGAGTGACTTAGTGGACATTGGAGACTCAGAAGGAAGGAGGTGGAGGGAGGTGTGGAGTGAAAATTTACCTGCTGGGTATAATACACTATTCAGGTGATGAGTATATTGAAAGCCTAGATTCCGCAGCGCAGTTCACTTGAGAAACAAAAAACCATTTATACCAATGGAATTACATACCTATTCTTTAAAAGCATTTAAAAATATAACCTCTAATGGGCTTAATTATCTATAGCAGGGGTTTGACAATCTTTTTCTATAAGGAATCAGATAGCGAATATTCCAGGCTTCATAAGTCATGTGATCGCTATCACAGCTACTCAATAGTGCCTTTGTGGCATAAAAGTAGCCACAGCTAATTTATAAATAAACGAGTGTGGCCGTATTCTAATAAAACTTTCTTTTTTCTTTTCTTT